TTTTGAATTTGAGTTTAATCTTTAATCTGCTAGTGCACATTGTTGGAATTTTTTCAAATTACATCTTGTATATTTCTTCATATATGAAATAGAAAATTTATGTTATGTAGGCTATTATGAAATGTTCTATAGGAGATTAGATCAAGCACGATATGAGATTAGTAGATAAAACATGTAACAATCCCTAAAATTCAATCTTCTATACTTAAAAATATCTCTATGTCCAGGCACTGTCTTGGGTTGGCCCTGATTTATTTATAATTTGATGCATAAATTGACATGCATAATTTGATTATCATTGTATTCAGTTTTACCTACTTGGAGAAAAAGGGGGAAACCAAAAGAATATTATAAAATTATATCACGATTCCCAGGATAAGATTCTAATCTCAAAAGTTCAGTCTGTTTTTTAAACATTTTCTGATATCTCTGCTACTTTACTAGGGGAAATTATATAGCACAATGCATTGTCCAGATGTAAAGGGATCTGAGATAAGTGAGGAAAATAATTAGACATGGAAAGACTTCCCTCTGAAGAGAATTTGGAAAAATAATTGGACTATTTAATGTAGAGAGCACAAAAGAGTTCAGGTTGTGGAGGTATATAAAATCAATGAGAAATTATATGAATGGTAAATAGGTGCTTCTATTTACTTTCTTAGAATATAAAAAAGATGTTTAATAAAATTCAAAGGCAAAAATGCTGAAGGTGAAAAAAGACACACTTTCCTACACAATGTATAATCTAACTGGGAAACTGAATGCTACAATATATCATTGAGTCCAAAACTTAGTAAAAGTCTGAAAAGACTTTTCAGACAAAAGTCTGAAAAGAGGTTTCAATATTTTTTCTCAATTAGTTTAGCTAGGTTAAAAAATGAGTTAGCATGTTAAACTGCCAAGCTTCAGCGTTTAGACCAAGTACTAATTGTGAGGAAATAAGAAAGAAACTTCTTTTCTAAAGATTATTTCAGAGCTTTACATTATGTCAGTTCATTCTGAACCGTCTAGTAGTGGCCGTATTTAGAGAGGTGATACTGGCCTATCATAAGAGACAATACATGTCCCAAACAGTTTACAACCTGGGTCTCTTTAAACTGTGTCTCTTCAACAGCCAAGCAGCAGGTGGCTCAGAAACATAAAGTGTTTTTTTTCATAGACACAACAGCTGGTCATTTGCAGAGGCAGATATCAAGGCTTGTTCTTCTTTCTTTTGTCTAGTTACAAACATATGACTATAAGTGCCATAATAAGCCGGACCAATGGAGCATCTTGCCCAGTCTCCAACACTGGTTGGAGTTGATGCTATACAGGGAAAGCATCGAACCAGATACCTCTGTCACAACCCAAAGGTGTGATTTTGTTTTGTGTGTGCTTTGGCACCACTGAATTATTTTCCCGCCAATTTGTAGCTTTCTTTGCAGTGTGCATTTCTTCTTTGCAGCACAGAGATGCACGGTGCAAAGAGTTCCCGCCATTTGTATTCTAATTCGAGCCCCATTATTGGCTTGCGTGAAATTATTCACACGTGGCGGCTAGTGATTGGCTTGCTAGC